AGCAGGGGCAAGACCGACGGCTCATCCACCAACACGCTGGCTCTCTTAAAATCCTCCGCCATCCTACGAGCCCATGGGGAAGCCGCAGGAGAGAGCCCAGAAGATGTCCGCGGGATAAAGCTTAACGTCTGACACACCAATTGCCCAAAGAGAGCCCCGAGTTCTTGGTTATGTTGATCAGGATTTCGGGCCCACCCCTGGTACCACCGAAGCCTACGTACGAGCATTTCGGTATCGGCCGACACGAGCTTCCAATAGTCTAAGATCTCCTCCGTCCCCCAGCTCCTGATCTCATCGCCCTCCCTGTCGCACGCCTTTCCCTTTAAGGCTACCCTGCAGAACTACCCTAGCTCATTATCGATATGTTTGTACTGCGACTTCGTCATCAACATGGGTTCCAGTCCGCGAAGTAAGGCGTTTTGAGGTAGGCTGATGAGCAGGCATCTTTTAACTTTCCAGGGGAGCGATCGTTGCCAGATACCTCCAAGACTCCAGGATGCACTCGAGGCTGAACTGAGGCGATATTGGAGCTCCACCCTCGTCCTTCCATCAAGGCACATCCTGGGACCCAAGTACCGCGTTTCTTGTCTGACACTGCCTCCCAAGACTTCAGGAATCTGTTTTTTTAGCCACCGCTTGCACCGAGCAGCATCTGCACCTTCGATCCTGGCCAGGAACTCCTGCTTTGAGACGTCCTGGGCATATCCGATCTTCTCCAGCTCCAAGTTGAGTGTGGAACCTGAAACGGCTAGCTGCTGAAACTGGCACGTCTGCAAATTTCCACAAAGAGAGGTCCACGAGGGTATTCTTCCACCTGCACTCGAGAGAGTTCATGAGTACGGGCTTGATCTGATTTAGCCAAGCAAGGATGGGACGCCGAAAAGCGCCTTGGAACAATCGAACAGTGAAAGGGTCGCCCATCAATCCACCTTCTCCCGTCTTAATAAGTAGGTCTCGATCAGCGCTCGGGAGATTGATAGTTGCCTCTCGGAATCTCTGAATAGCTAATCTACGATTTTCCTCTCTGGAGTATTGCTGCGCCGTGGATTCCAACTCCGCCTAATCCCCACAAGCAAATGCATTAGATAGATCTTTCACGCTAGCAGTGTAAGAGCACCCACTTTGTGACATCCTCCACGCAACCACCTGTACTCCCAAACTCGCATCCTCCCTTCTCCTCGCCCGCACGACGCCGTGGTCGAACGAGTCGGGTGGCACTTGCAGAATATCAGCAAAAAACATCTTTCCAAGAGACGGCAATATGTGCACGCGTTTCCCCGCAGGGCCTGGCTTATTCGACTTCCTCAGCACACAACCCGAACTGCGTTGCAAATATACCGGTGCACGCTCATTCCGTCGGATATTTCTGAACCCAGCCACCATAAAGTCACGAAATATTGTCATGTCAGGTAGTTCAGACCTGAAATCCAAGGCCACGCCGACTGCGATTGGAAATCTGCCGCAACGGGTGTAAACACAGATGCCAGAGCTCAGCGGGCGTCGTTCCTTCTGGTACTGCACGGCGGCGCGGGGCCCGTCGAGATCTGAACTCAATCATCTCGTAGTCCTCTTCTGCAGCACAAGCGATGGCTTCCGTCAAGGGCGACCTTGAGGTGTTGAGTTGCTGTGGTTGCCATTCATTCCGATCCATCTCAGTAGCACTCATTTTTCCGTCGCATCCTGCCTGCCCCCAGTGTTGTAGCCACTCCGTTGCTGTAGGAGACGATCCTTTGAATCATCTCGAATCTCTTTTCTTCGGTCCGAAACGGCATCTGGCTGCAAAACGACTTAGCCTCATCGCGACCACAACTTGCCTCTGCTCCCAAGCCTCGTATTTTTCCTGCTCCAATCCTTCCCGTCGTTTCTGCACGTGGCGCTGTCGTATCTTTTTTTCATTTGCTGACTTAACTGCTTCAATTCGTTTCTATTTGCTCAAGTTCAACTCCAGCTGGCATCCATTTTCGTAATCCACACCGTTCAGCAATAAGTTGTCTGCGCCGAAGTGTGTCCTCTTGATTTTGCTTCGATATTGGCCCACGCTGGAACAACTTCTTTCCACACCTTACCATCACCTTCTCTAGGAATTCGAACTCTTTGTCTGGGTTTGGAAGCATCATCACAACATCCACTCATGTTCGGTTGCCGTCAACTTTTAATTACAGCCGATCGAATTTCTGCCTGTCTGTCGCCATACTTCAGTGTGTCCATACGTTTGCCCCGATCCCATCGCAACGTTTGGGCGGGCGCTCTGCATTGCCAGTCATTTTCCCATCTCAGCGATATATAGGCTGGAAGGTGATCACGTGGGCCTTTTTACTTGTTATTGCCAGCAACTGTTTGCCCAACTTACGTAGTGGGTGACATCGTTCAATACAATATTGTACCCCACGTGCGACCAAACAAAAATCAATCAGACTGTATGTTTTTGGTCCAGAATGCGTGAACTCACGATGCCCGGGACTCTTAGCTACGACCAGCTGATGCCGATCCGCCAGAAGTCGCAGCTCTTCTCCCGCTCCATGTCTTCTTGCCTCGCGGGTCGCCGTGGAGCCGATCGAGTCACTTTCCGCACGCTGCCAGCTTCCACTCTCTCGTCTCTCCGATACCGTCGTTGGCGTCCACAAATATCATCGGCTGGCATCTCCGGAGTATCTCATTCAGCACAGAATTCGTTCAATCTTTCAGAACGCGAGCCGTTTGCATGTACAGCGCAATCTCACCTTGCTTCCTGGGCTTGGGGGGGAATTACACAGCCATCACCAACAAGTCGATCGTCCCTCGTTTTATACGTATCGCAATAGATCTCCCCCTGTCGATAGTGGGCTCGGCCATGCTCTGATCACGTCATTCTCTCTGTACCTCTCTCCCAGCACGATCATGACCCCACAACTCTTGTTCGTGTACTTCCCACGAACAAATGCACACTCGCAGATCCTCCCCCTCCTCCTTCTCTGGATACAAGAAACGAGTACGTTCTGTGCCTCCCTTCTGCAAGACGTCGTGCCAATCAGCGCGACCATGTCCAGGGAGGGGGTCTGCATCAGAATCTCCTCGAGGCGGCTCCCCGAGGCCCACATCGGGTTCCACCCTATCGCTCGTAACATTGCCTGGCCGCCAGCTCGATTCGGGCGCGGGATTAGCCATCAAGTGAAGGGTGGGGCATGGCGCGGCCGCTCGGCCAACCTCTCCGACCCAGATGACGGCTAGGAGGAGGAGGAGGAGGAGGGAGGAGGAGGAGGAGGAGGAGGAGAAGGAGGAGGAGGAGGAGGAGGAGGAGGAGGAGGAGGAGGAGGGAGGAGGAGTAGGAGGAGGAGGAGGAGGAGGAAGAGGAGGAGGAGGAGGAGGAGGAGAAGAGGAGGAGGAGGGGGAACGGGGTCGGCGGGACTGGAGAGAGCGAGGACGGGCAGCGGAGCCAGCGGTGTCCAGACGGCTGTAGCCATGTAGCACCTGACTCCCAGGGCTGGACCTACATTGTGTTTTTGGTGATTTCATGGGCCGTTATCGTTTCGACATCGTTTTGAGGTAAAGGCGGATTCGAGACAACAGCGAGGGACAACGAAAACAAAACGAACACGAAAAACACCGTTCAGGTTCAGCCCTGCTGAATCCTCTCACACAGCTCAGCTGCAGCAGCGCATCCTCGCCGTCGCCAGCATTCGCGCGGGCCTGCCATGTCTCCTGCTCCGCTGCCCGCAGCGGCTCTGGCATCCCGAGCCGGGGGTCGGTCACCCGCGCCTTTTTCGGACGGGGCTTCCTGTGGGTCGGCGAGCCCAGAAGGCTGCGTGGGCCATCTAGGTCCTCCGCCCTAGAGGGCCAGGTGTTGCGTCCGCCGTGCGCCGGGCGGTGTCCGCGGCTGCTGAGCCTGGGGCCGCCCACGGCCACGACGAGGCGGACAACCGCACGTCCTGAGCAGCGCTCCGCCTCCAGCGAGTTGGCAAGCCGAGGGCGTGATAGCCACGGGCGCTCCCAGCCATCACCTCGCCAGCGCGTGGGGTGGTGCTTCTCGGACGGCTCTGGGACGAGCCCCAGCGGCGGCGGGCATGGAGGTCCAGAGGCCGCTGCCCAAGGCCAGCCCCCATTGTGCATCACGTAGACCCGCTTGGTGAACTCGTCGAAGTAAGCTGAGGCGAACTTGAGGCGTTCTTTCCTGGCCTCGCGCGCCTCTTCAACATGCACCAGAAGGCTACTCGTCTTCTCGCTCGCGCTCTGGCTCGCTTCCGCCCTGGCCTCCGCGTTCGCCCGAGCAATGGGGAGTTCAATTGCTGCTGGCCCCTTTGGCGCCGCTGCGGTCTGGTGCGCCTTCGTGTTCAGGAGCAGCACGCCTGGCCCAAGGCCGTGGCCGTTGATGCGGCGCCAGACGGCCTTCCACAGATCGGCATCGGGCGCTGCGGCTCACATGCACCATGCCCGACTAGCCATCTGAAATGCTCTGCATGCCAGCTTCCAGTGCGATCTGCGGCACGGCACGCGCCAGCGCACGCGCACGCCCTGCTGCAGGGATGGGCATAATCTGGGGGGGGGGAGGCGTGCCATCCAGAGAGAGGCCCTCCTCCCGCTGCGTCCCCCCATCCTCTCCCCCCGCTCCTCCGTAGCCATCTTGGCCGAGGGGCGCGCCCGGCCCGAGCCTCGGGCGCCCGTCCGGGCGCCGGACGACTCAGACCCCCGACGTCATGATGTTCCCATGACGTCGGCCTCCAGGGATGTCGGCCCCTTCTCGGCCACGCGCGCCGAGGGGCGTGTGGGGAAGGGTGGAAGGCTTCCCGGAAGCCGCCTCCTTCCAAGAAGCCTTCCCCCCTCCCCCTAACCCTTTGTGCGCGCCGCCAGCATCCCCCGTGACCACCTTTTCGCCCCGGGTCGTTCTGTGGACGGTCCCGGGGCCCGGCGGGGGCCCCCGCCCACAGCTTCCGAGAGTGGCAAAGCACACGCCCATCCGTCGTGCCTCTTCTTCATGGCCCCATCAGGGGGGTCTGGGCAGGGCGCCTCCCCCTCGGGGCCTTGCCATGGAGGCGGCGGCGGAGCCCTCGGAGCCGACGGCGGCGCAGCGGCGGCACGCCGCGCAGGGCGCGGCGGCGGCGGCGCCTGCGTGCGCGCCGGCGGCCCGGGAGCTGCCGCTACGGCCGCCCGCGGCGCTGCAGCCGGCGGGGCCCGCGGCGGAGGCGGGGCCCCCGCCGCCCGCGGGGTCGCCTGGCAGGGGCCCTCAGCCCGCGCCGTGGGCGGAGCCGCCCTGGGGGCCCTGGGCGCCCGACGGCGCGGAGGACCCTCCTCCTCGGGTTACTCTCGTCCTCCTCCTCCTCCTCCTCGCTCCTCCTCCTCCTCCTCCTCCTCGCTCCTCGCTCCTCGTCCTCGCTCCTCCTCCTCCTCCTCCTCCTCCTCCTCCTCATCCTCCTCCTCCTCCCTTTTCCTCCTCCTCCTCCTTCTACTCCTCCTTCTCCTCTCTCTCCTCCTCCTTCTCCTCTTTCTTCTCCTCCTTCACGGCGCGGAGGACCCTCGGCGTCGTGATTTTGTGCATCTATCGTGGCTCAAGGGACGGCACTAGGCCTCCCAGAGGGGGTCGGAGTAGAGGGGGTCGGAGGATCGCGCCGCATCGCTGATGCATCGCCGATGCGGCTCGATGTTCAGCCCGATTTTCTCCGCGCTGGCGTCGCCGAAGCTCCGCCGACGTCGCCGATGCATCCCCGATGTATCGGCGTTGCATCGTTTATGCGGCGTGATCCTCCGACCTCATCTACTCGGACCCCATCTACCTCGAGGCCTCTACCGGACGGGGTGTCCATGCAAACAGGTATCCGTCAGAGCGCTGGATCTTGCAGGGTCTTGCAGAGCCAGGGCTGCATTTGACCAGGGCTTGGGCGCAGAATCCTGAAGGATCGTGCAGCATCCTGCAAGGCCTGACTGACCAGGGCTTGGGTTGACCCGGGTCAGTAGATCCCTGAATGTCGCGGATAGAGGATCGGCTATAGAATTGAGTTGCCCCAACATTGATTCTCTCGTCGAGACTACAAGCCAAAAAGCGTTGAATGTTTCGTAGATCAACGGAGCAGGCTACCTACTTTTTCATGGGCTCGTCGACAAAAATTGGGGGTACATCAATTCTGTAGTCGATCCCCTACTCGAACATCGTCGGCCCAAGGGGTCTCGGCCCATTCCCCGGGACCGGCTTTTCGTCCTGCGTCGTTTTTTGACGGTCTCTGGGCCTGGCGGGGGCCCCCGGAGGCCGAGACAGCCACATCAACGTCCCGTCGTGATTTGCTCATGGCCCGATGGGGATCCGAGGACGTGGTGGGCATCTCGGGCTGCAGGTGGTGCCAGAAGGGCGAGTGCTGGGCGCACGGGCAGGTCGGCCGCCCAGGGGTCCGCGGGCCGCACTTCAGGCCGAGGGCCAGGGGCCCGGGGGAGCGCTGCAGCCACGGCGCTCTCTCCATCCCGGGCGTCGGCTGCACACAGGCGTGCCCGGACGAGGAGGCGATGTCGCTGCTCTCGCGCAAGCTGGCGGCCATCCTGCGGCACAAGGCCCCCGAGTGGGGCGTCGAGCTGCAGGGCCGCGAGGGCTGGAGCCGCGTGTCCGACCTGCTGCGCCTGAGGACCTGGGAGGCCTACGCCGAGTCCGATGTGGCCTGGGCGGCCCACGCCAGCCTCTCCCACGGCAAGCCCCGCTTCGAGCTCCGGAGCTGGCGCAGCGAGTTCTGGGTGCGGGCCTTGGGCAAGCACACGCTGCCGCCGCCCTCGCAGCAGGCGCCCTGGGAGGTGGACGCCGCGCTCGAGGCCGTGGAGCAGCCGGCGCAGCAGGCGCAGCAGGCGGCCGCGGCCGGCGGCGCCCCCGACGAGGCTGCAGGGGTGGCCGCGGAGGCACGGCCTCCGCCCGACGAGCCGTGGCCGTGCTGGGAGGAGGTGGCGCGGGCAGAGGCGGAGGCCGCGAGCGGCTCTCCGCCCGCAGCCGCGGCGGGGCCAGCTGCCCACGGTCGGCCAGCGGGCTCGGCCAGACTCGCCCGCCGCCCCCGTGGGTTCGGGCTCTCCCGGGCACCTCGGCTCCCGGACCTCTCGCCGCATCGTGAAAGGGTCGCGACGGGCGGTTTTCGTCGACGCTTTTGGCGGCCAGGGGCCCTCACTGGGCCTCGGGACCGTCACACAACGATTCAGGCTGAAAAGCCAGTCCCAGTTCCCACGCGTTGCCAACAGAGTCCGAACCCACAGGATCGCCTGGTGGGTGGTCTGGTCTTCCCTGTGTAGGTGCTCATCCCTGGACCCGGTACAAGTGCGAGCCAGGGGAGGGCTACTGGTGGTGGTGCGAGGGCACACAGGAGCATTTTCTGGAGGCGAGCCCAGGCGAGTGGTGCAAGTACTCGGATCCGGCATCGGGGGGCCACTATTGGTGGAAGGACGAGCAGGCGTGGTTCTACGAGGCGTCCGGGAGCACCTCGCCTCCGTGATCTTGCGCTTGCCCTGCCTGGACTGCGGCGAGGAGGTCGAGGCTGTCGTCGATTGCGCAGACC